TTATTTAAACATTAGTAATTATGATTAGGCTAATAAATAAGTTAGTTACTTGCTTATTTTTTTATATTAATATTATTGTTGATTATTAAAAGCCAAAAGAATTTGAAAAGAAAAAAGGAAATTCGACCTTGTTAGTAGCCCAATATTTTTCTTCTAATTCTACCGGCCCAAATCACTCCAAACAATAATTCCTTAAAGCAGACCAAACATTAGCCCATGCCTGATTCAAAATTCTTCTAAAAGACCTAGGCTACATAAAGTAAAAATAGCATGGTATAACCAGTTTTCGGATTGGTCATTCAAAAATAGCCAACATTTACGAAGTCAATGAAAAATAGCCACTATTTTGCTGCAATAGAGACCGGTCTAGCATAATATACTGGAGTTCGGTGCACCTGTGTATGAACTCCAGCATATTATGCTGGATCGATATACTTTGCTGACTCCAGTATAATATACTGGAGACTAGAGCACCGGTGCTCCAAACTCCAGTATATTATACTGGACAATTATACTTGCTGGAACTCCAGTATATTACACTGGAGCTCCAGTATAATATGTTGGAGTTCCAGCATACTTATGCTGGAACTCCAGTATATTATACTATCGTATTTTTCGGGTTTTGAACATTGTTTTCGGTAAGATTTATCTTTATATGAAAAGTGGCTAAATTTTAATTACTTTTGAAACTTAGCTATTTTTGAACTGACCAATTGTAAATCTGGCTATTTTTGAATTTCTCCTCGGCATAAAATATCTCTCCCATTGGATTCCAAAAAATAATACATTTAATTACATTGAATTTTTTATTTCAATTCTAGTGACGTTTGACCTGTGGTACCCCACCCCCTCGTTTACCACAACTAACGTTACAGTTCTCTCTCGCTCTCTCCCCCCTCTTTCCATGGCAGAGCCTTTCCCCATCTCCATGACCATTTTTGGCTAACAATTCAACTATTCTTCAGCCATGGTAGAGTATTGTCGTACCATATTCGGGTAAATCTCTGTCTCTCTTGCTTTATCTTTTCAAGATCCATGTCGTTCTGTGATCTCCTTCAATTTGGTCAACATAAAAGACCAAAATTACGTTTGAAATCTCTGTGGGAGAATCACCAAGGCAGAGATTCAATTTCAAACGGCTACTTTTCAAAATCAAATCTGAAAAATTCCCGCTCAAGAAGCCCTAGATATAATCTGCTGTTATAAATACCTGCATTTGGCCTTAATTTCGGACCAGCTCATAGTCGCCGCTACTCCCCTCCAAACTTTCGAAATACCTTCTACTTCATACATATCCTCCATAAATATAGCTTTAAATCGTGTTTCATTGCTCATCTTCTCCCCTCTCAGATCTTTGTTGGCCTTCAGCCGTGACAAAGATTTGTCGGTCTGATTGTGTCGCTTGGGTCGTGAAGGAGGTTTGAAGCGGAGATTCGAGTAGTCATTGGCAAACCCCAGTTTACTGCCCTGCAAAAGGTCAGTGACCTCTAACATTAAGTTCCTCTTTCTGTTATTATTATTTTTTTATGTTAAAGGCAAATAGTTATTTCTGTTTGAAAATTAGTAGTTCGCTTCCTATGTAGAGATCATGATTTAGGACTCATTTTGTACACATAAAAGTCATGTTTATAGGGAAATTGTATTCCAGTCGTGTTTGTCTAGAAACCCATTAATAAATGCTTGATAAATTGCCTATACAACTATTTTGTGTGTTTTATGTTGTTAATACATGATCAACGTTGTTCTTTTGTAAATGCCATGCTCAGCTGATGTTTCATTTCTAATTTCTTGTTAAGGATAAACGTATTATGTGAAAAAGCTCCTTCTTTCTTATGAACTTCAATAGCGTTTATGAGTAAAAATGAGTAATCTTTTAACTCAAGAATTTGGGAGTGTAATATTTGTGGACAGATTACTATTTATCTGTCAAAGGTTAAAAAAAGAAAAGATAAGAGAGTGCATTCTGTAAGAGTGTTGGTGTATCCTGTATACCTTCCAACAATAGGAGCTTAGGTTCTTTCATGTCCAGATAATCATGACAAATATAAGGTTATTGCAAAAGTTAATCGAATATGTTGCGAGTAATTTGTGGATTTACATTATTCATAAATAGCATGCTTATACAGTCTTGTTGATGGCTGCATTTCTTAAGTACTGAATAGCTTTAAATCTATGTAAACTCCTTCGGTTAAAACAATAGCAGAAAACTTGATGGTCTCCCCATAAACCTGAGACCTTAACTTATGCTCTTTTTGGCCTCTCTCTGTTAATGGAAGTATATTGCTTTATAATAAGCACCATGTTTAGGCCTTTCTTCTTATTTTTAAATGCACAATATCACGAGCATGGGTTTTAATGAAATAATTAGCTTCAGATATCCTTTGGCAGTATTTAGCTAAGAATGTCCCGTAAATGAGTGAGTTACACTCGCTATTTAGCATGCCTATAGAGGCCTTATAGATAGTTCTTCTACCCAAGCTCACTTAGAAAGTTAAGCTCTTTGTCAGAACTATGGTATAGAATTCCATCCCTAAGATACATTTTTATGTATTAATAGCTAGACCAAACTAAGCAAGCTATACTATCCTTGATGCCTTCTCTGTCACAATGAAGTAGAGATGCTTATTTGCATTATGATAATGACATACATACTGCATCTAAGATTTATTCACTCATTTTCTCATCATATAAGATTTATTTGCTTACTTAGTACAGCATGCCTTAGGTACCCTGCTTAACTTTTAATTGCCCCATCTTAAGTTCTAAATGAGAATAATAGAAAACATCTGCTTGAATACTTCGTTAGAGGATGTTCTTGAATCAGTGTTATGAATCTGATAGTATAACATTCTAACCTGATGAATGTGTCTGCTATGTTGTAAGCTTATAAGTTTATAGTATGATTCGTAATGTCTTTATCCTATGTTTGCTCGGAAATTAAGTTCATTCTAATTCATGTTTTGTTCTCTCTTTTGCATGTGCACTTGAAGCTAACATGGAGTCTTAATGCAAGACTCTCCATACCCGAGCACGGAATCATCACATCCAATGTTCTTATAGAGTCACCGAATAACAAGAAAACAAGCAAATTTGCTTGGGGTCGCTTATGGCGGCTTTCATTATTCTTTACTCATTCTGTCTAAATATATTTGTTAACTTTTGGTGGCTTGGTTTTGTTTTTATCTATAACTGATGATTAATCTTTTCATGAGGGATTACAACTCTAATTTTAGTAAGGCATTTTGTTGATTAAGGACTTTAAAGATTTATCACCTAGCGTGGTGAGGATGCCGTCCTTGAGACCTCAAGGAAAAACTATTTCTTTTTAATCACATCAGGACAAATTGAAACACAGTTTTAAAAACAAAGGTCTTTGAGTTGAAACAGCCTCTCTGCCCCTCGGGTAGGGATAAGGTCTGCGTACATACTACCCTCCCCAGACCTCACTTGTGGAATTATACTGTGATGTTGTTGTTGTTGTTTTTTAGTGATTCCATCAAGTCACTTTCTTGGAAAACAAAAGTAGTCTTTGAAGCTCCATTTATAACGTCAATGTTATAGTGATCATATTCATTAGTTATAAACTTTTGTCCATTCACTTAAAGTATTTTAAAGTTGAATCACGTATTAATAATAGGTTGTCTTCCCTAAAACCATGCCAAAAAGCAATGTTTCAACAATTGTCCATTCACTTAAAGTATTTTAAAGTTGAATCACGTATTAATAGGTTGTCTTCCCTTAAACCATGTCAAAATGCATTGTTTCAACAAGTTTTAAATAATTAACTTAAGTTTTGCCGGTTAATCATTTTTAATGGATCTTAAAAGGTGCCTTACCCCTTCCTTTGAACCTTACCTAGAATTTCTAGAACTAAGCATACTATATAAAACAAAGTTACTTTAACCATTATTTAGTAAATATGTGTTCTAATTCACCTTTAAAATAATTAAGTGACGACTCTCTTAATTACTTAAACCTTCAAAATTAACCAATATGTTATACTCTAGTTTGACCCGTGTTAAAATGGGGTATAACAGCATGACGACTCTGCTGGGGATTCTAGGCTCTAAACCACAACAAACTTAGGTTAATAATAAAAATTAATTTGTGTGTTTTTTATTGTCATGATGCTTATTTGAATTGTCTTTATATGATAAACTGTATTGTATGAATTGTTTATTTGTTCTTATTGCTTCATATAAATTGTCATCCCGTTTCACTTCCTCCACTTTTGGAAAACTCACTCTATGCACACACCTAGCGGTTACGTGGTTTGCGGCCGTGCACTTTTCAAAAAAATACCTTTTAGGGGAAAGTTCGTGGGTAAGTCGATTAGCGGTGCAGTCGACAGTCACGTGCTTTTCACTCTCAAGTTGTCTGCTTGGGAGAAGACCAGTCTAGAAAAACCCACTCTTAATCGGCCTAAGATAGAACTAAACCAAAACTCTTTTAAGAGCATGCATCATTTTAGTCTTAGGTGATTTAATATCCGAGGTGTATTAAATCCATTAGTTAATCTTACCTAAATGTGCAAGCGGGTTTTCAACTCCAAGTGACACCTTATCCGTATATGTGCATTATTTGAAGGCTGAACATGCCAATCATGTGGACCATGTGATAAGGTGCCAATCATGACACCTTATCACGTATATGAGCATGACTTACTTTCTATGATATGTATAAAAATTTTCAAATGATTATGACAAAATATATTTTACTTTCTTTTAAACTATTGATGAAATATACTTCCTTTTGACCAAAAAAGAAAAGGTTACAGTAGTTATACTTTACTATTTATTGTTTTTCAAAAAATAGAAATATTTAATTAATTTACATTAATGGAATGAAATATAATGGCATATTTATCTTTCAAATACACGTTAGACCTACCTCTGGCACAAAGAGGTCCCTTACATATTAGGACGCGCAATTATTTGCTATACTTTAAAATTTGTAACATGCTTGCCTGCTTATTTGCTTACTTGACTTTATTATTTTTACTAACATCATTTGTTGTTTTTCAGAAGAAAAAAAAAATAGACTATCCAACTTGCTAATATTATTATATTTGTTCATATATTTTTGTTACTTATTTTTTTATATCATCTTTTCGAATTATTCCGCGCGACTCTAGTGCGCCATTTTTATATTTACTTAGGCTCAAACTTCTTTTAGGTCTACTCCAATTCTTAGAGTCTAATTAAGATATCTTTAGTCTCTCGGTATCTTCTATTTTTATAAAGCACGACGTCTTTCCCATAAACTCTTCAATAGGCTCATTTCTTCATGAAATCCCTCGATATTCGTGCGTTCAACTAGCCTTTAAAAATTTCTTTAAACAACAAGGTGTATAATAAGATTTCATTAAAACTGGCATAATATATTTCTCCCATATAATCCATGCATTAATTTTATTCGCGTTCTTTTCATAAAATATAGTTACATATTTTTTAAATATTGCCATTCGTGCCTCACAGAATTTTTTAATTTCGTAATCTTGTCTTATTTCGTAATCTTAGACTTTCAACCTTCGTGCCAATTCTCATTTACAAGTGGATAGATGTCCAAACTTGCACAATCTACCAAGAATAGGAGGCCACTATTTGGTCAATTTGCATCGTCAAATTATTTCCAATATTTTTACCTATTAAATTCAAGTGTCTGCATCGTCTTATTTCGGGTCGTCGAGATTAATCTTCACGCATCCGTTAATTCTAAGTTTTGGCACATGAGTCGAGGTACTATCCCACAAGTCTCAAAATGGTTGATACCGAATTTTAGGCCTCACCAACTTTACAATTTGCCAAAGCTAAAAAAGGAAAAAAATTCTTTTCATTGACTACCATATCCTTATCATTATTTTGATCCTGAGCTTGTCTATATCCAAATAACAACGAATTATTTTCTAATATCAAAATGACTCATCTTTGGCCCCTCTTAAACATTGTAATATTACAAGACCCAATCTCGTCAGTTTCTTAAGCACTCATTCCCAAATATTCTACCCTTAGCTTTTAATATTTGCTCCATCGTGAAAGATATATCCTTTTTTCCAAAGAGGTTGACTTGACAATATGGCCAACGAAATCGCAGTGATTGACCTAGATGCGGATGAGTTTGAGTACAAGCAATCTAAATCAAAGCAAGATAAGATTGCTAAGCTTGAAGCAAAAGTGGCAAATTGAGCAAGAAATTGATGGCGTCAAGGAAGTGATAGCTGATATTAAGAACTCGTTCAACGAAAAAGGCTACTCTCCATTTCATACAACTGCATCTACCACTTATGAGTGTAATGCCTAATTTTTTCAAATCTGCACTCTTTCTTGCTAGAAAGGGTGCTAAGCTGCCAACAATATTTATGTAGAAGAAGCATGATTAAAAAGATCACAAAATTTGAAAGATTATTATTCCCCACCCACCTTCCCTTATTTAGGATGCGCATGCAACCTATGTAAGGGTTAGCTTCATTATAGCAAAGAAACTGGGGCAAATATTGGCACGCAGGTTGAGCGTGCTCGAAAGGGACATCATGACATGGAATAATAATCAAAACCTTCCCAAAGATTGGGGCAATTTTTGAAAATTCCAGAGCCATGCAAGGACAAGGACCTATGCTAGAGCTAAAACTTTGATGTTCGACATGAGTCAACCTTTCACAAAAATTTCAAATTAACTCGCTTCCATGTCAACAAGTTTCGAGCATTAGAGCCCCTAGATTACAATTCATTCTCGTCCATCCATTTTGCAACTTAGGTCATCATTTCCCGTTTAGGGCTCCTGCTTAACCATATCATGAATTAATCTATCTAATTACATACTTTATTACTTTGTGCATTTATTTGATTCTGAAAAATATGCTAACACTTTACTTTTATTTTGTAAAGTTTTATTTTTCCTTTAAAGGTTGCCTATCATTGAACACTATTTTGGCTGCGAATCTGCATAAAGGACGGGCTATAATGGCAGATCATTTTGAAGAATTCAGTACCGGTATGGGACTATTGCAATCACAGAATGATGACACCAAGGCGAATGTGGTGCAAATAAAAGTATTGGTTAGTTTGGGAAGTACTTTCAACCTTCTTCCAAATACAACCTCCACCTCCAGCTCCATCCAAAATATTTGCTTAACCATATCTCCTTACCCAACTCCTACTTATACAATCTCTCCACAAATGCCAATAACCTGCAATCCCAATCAAGTCATGATGATTCCTAATACCCAACTTCCTATAACCACAACTCCATTTAAGGAGGACAAGCAAAAACGACTAGCAATATGCCCGTATAAGAGACCTGAAAAATTAACCCAGCAGATTTGCCGCAAAAAATTAGAGAATGAACTCCATAATTTGAAGAAAGTCATTGGAGAAGAATTGCAGTCGAGAAATTATCAAAGTCTACGATATGAAGACTTGTGCTTGCAGACAGATATTAAACTGGCACTAGGGTATCAACTACCAAAGTTCAATACTTTCAGTGAGAAAGGAAATCCCATCGCTTATTTAAAGGACTATTGTAGCAGGTTACTTGGTATTGGGCACAATGAGGCCATTCGAATGAAGTTATTTATCCAAAGCTTATCAGGACCTGCACTTATTTGGTACACAAAACAAGATTTAGCAAATGGCACACGTGGGATGATATGTCTCATGATTTTGTAAAGCAATATGAGTTCAACTTTGGAGTCGATCCAGACATGCATAGTTGTACAAAATAGAGAAAATGCCACATGAATTTTTTCAGGATTATGCAATCCGGTGGAGAGTTGAAGCTTCAAAGGTGCACCCTCCGCTATCCAAGAAAGAATTAATTTCAATCTTCATTGACATTCAAAATGACATATATTATGAAAAGCTGGCTACTGCAAACGTACGCAATTTCTCAGACTTGATTAGAGTCGGGGACTTCCTAGAAAGCGGCATCAAAGAAGGAAAGGTTATCATGCAAACTATCAATCATGCTTTACAATTTGATATGTTAGAAAATTGGAAAGGCAAAGAGAAGAAAAATGCCATAGTTTCCATGACTCTGCATCAACCGCAATGCCATCATGATCACCAGCTCCTACAAAATCATGCCATCTCTAATGCCCGTAACATGCATCTCCAGCCTCCTCGTCAACAAAGCATTCAACATCAACATCAACATCATCAAGCACAAGTCGTTTATCACCAATCAAAGAAAAGAAAGCCTCACAACTTCACACCTCTGAGTGAACCAATCTCTAGCATATTCGCTCGATTGAATGTCTCAGGAATTATGCAACCAAGA